CGGAAGGAAGTCAGCTAGTCATCACCACTCACCGCCAACTCTTGGGCTACTCTTTTACGAACGAACAGTGGGATTGACCGTCACTTTATAACGCCCCCACGGCTGAAAGGGCGAGCATGTTTGGTGTGACAGGGATTCGAACCCGCAACCCTCAGACTGCGAGTCGAGCGCCCTAACCACCTGGCCAGAAATCAACAAACAAGTGTATCTGTGTGTGGCTCTTCCTGTTACTAAGCTCAGATGAAGATAGTTAACTTTAGTTAACACAGTATTTATTTCTGTTCACTTTTGTATTATCTTTGAGATGTGTGCTTTATTTTTCTGGTTGACATTTGTAGTGTTTCTGTGAAACAAGTATCGTGTGATGTCGTACGTGTGTCTGGTGAGTCATGCATGTATGTGTATCATTCCCAGTAGGAGTTTAGGGTTAGCATTTCAATGAAGATAACTGGTACGTTTAAGGCTTCAGAAATTCATTTAAAGTAAGTCGGCTATAAGAGTGACTTAAGATTTAAAAAGGCAGGGAGCTGTGGAGAAGTCGCATCATAATTTTACTCCCCTATAACATTGTGTGTGTATGTATATATATACACATACACACACACACTAAATTTGTAGATTCTTAGTTCCTGTAACTGCTGCAGAACTATTAAAAAACTGTTATCACTAGATTAGCTATCCCATTCCTAGGGGGCCCGGCATGGCCAGGTGGTTAGGGCACTCGACTCGCAATCTGAGGGTCGCGGGTTCGAATCCCCGTTCCACCTAACATGCTCGCCCTTTCAGCCGTGGGGGCGTTATAATGTGACGGTCAATCCCACTATTCGTTGGTAAAAGAGTATCCCAAGAGTTCACTGCTAAATCAGGGACGGCTAGCGCAAATAGCCTTCGTGTAGCTTTGCGTGATATTCAAACCAAATCAATGTTTACTTTGTTACGCAAACAGTAAGACTGAAATTAACTAGGATAAAACAAAATCCTTCTCGGTTGGCCTTCTTTGTACAGCTAAAAGTTCATTTTGTCAGCGGTATCATTCACTGACGCTAAAAGGTCACTTCCTCCTGTAAAAGTTAGTTCATTCAACTGATTTATATGTACAATTATGACAGGCCGAGATTTAATGATAAAGCTGCCGGGCTGCGGATCGGAAGGTTATAATTTCCAGTATGCGATATACCGCTTAACATTCCGTACTTTCAGCTGTGAGCGCTTTAAAAAACCGACAGTCAGTCCTACTATTCGGTTAAGAGTAACCGTGTAGAAGGTGGGTGTTGCTGACCGGTTGCCCCCCCCCCCTCCTTTGGTTAGTTTTTCTAAATTAAATAAGGTTATTTTGCCTCAACCTTGAGGTCACTAACCTGGTCGTTTGAATCATGCGTCGCATAACGTGAAAATTAGGTAAAAGTGTTCTTTAGTGTAAAGTTATATGTTTATGTCCTTTAAGTTGTTGAACCAAAGATCAATGACTATAGAAGATTTAGATTATAATATAATATTTATTTTCTAGATCCTTTTTGTTGTTGTTGTTGCTTTAAGGACGTGGGCTGGTAGAGCTCTGGATTTCAGTGGTGGAGAGCCGAATTCGAACCCGTGCAAAAATTTCTTTACACTTTTTTAAATTAAGCCGTGGGTGCATTATAAGAATTACAAGTCAATCCCTTAGCGTGGATGGTGGTGGAAGGCGTGCTTCTGACTGGCTGTTTTCCCTCAGGTCAGTCGCTGAAAATTAGGGACGACAGCAGATAATCTTAGTAGCTTTGCTGTAAATACAAATATTCGTGCTGTAACTATTTTTTCTTGGATCATTAAGTGACTTGTTCACTATTAGATCATTAAGTGACTTGTTCACTATTAGATCATTAAGTGACTTGTTCACTATTAGACCATTAAGTGACTTGTTCACTATTAGATCATTAAGTGACTTGTTCACTATTAGATCATTAAGTGACTTGTTCACTATTAGATCATTAAATGACTTGTTCACTATTAGTTCATTAAGTGACTTGTTCACTATTAGATCATTAAGTGACTTGTTCACTATTAGATCATTAAACGACTTGTTCACTATTAGATCATTAAACGACTTGTTCACTATTAGATCATTAAACGATTTGTTCACTATTAGATCGTTAAACGACTTGTTCACTATTAGATCATTAAACGACTTGTTCACTATTAGATCATTAAGTGACTTGTTCACTATTAGATCATTAAACGACTTGTTCATTATTAGATCATTAAACGACTTGTTCACTATTAGATCATTAAACGACTTGTTCACTATTAGATCATTAAGTGACTTGTTCATTAAGTGACTTGTTCACTATTAGATCATTAAGTGACTTGTTCACTATTAGATCATTAAGTGACTTGTTCACTATTAGATCGTTAAGTGACTTGTTCACTATTAGATCATTAAACGACTTGTTCACTATTAGATCATTAAGTGACTTGTTCATTACTAGATCATTAAGTGACTTGTTCACTATTAGATCATTAAGTGACTTGTTCACTATTAGATCGTTAAGTGACTTGTTCACAATTAGATCATTAAGTGACTTGTTCACTATTAGATCGTTAAGTGACTTGTTCACTATTAGATCATTAAGTGACTTGTTCACTATTAGATCGTTAAGTGACTTGTTCACTATTAGATCGTTAAGTGACTTGTTCACTATTAGATCATTAAGTGACTTGTTCACTATTAGATCGTTAAGTGACTTGTTCACTATTAGATCATTAAATGACTTGTTCACTGTTAGATCATTAAATGACTTGTTCACTATTAGATCATTAAGTGACTTGTTCACTATTAGATCGTTAAGTGACTTGTTCACTATTAGATCATTAAGTGACTTGTTCACTATTAGATCATTAAGTGACTTGTTCACTATTAGATCATTAAGTGACTTGTTCACTAGCATCTCTGCCTACGACACTGACTAGTAGAAATTATGAGAAGAAAGAGACATTGTTTTCACATTCAGCTTAATGTGTTGTCTTTTGTGTTTGAAACATAATTAACACATGTTTTAGTGTCGATATGCGTAACGTTTAGTGTTGCTCATCGTCTGTACTCGTCCATTAATACTTTTAAATATCTTGAAATAACCTGCTCATATTTTGATAATGGTCATTTAACAAGTTTTAACCTAGCTTCGAAGGTTACGTTGAAGGTCAGGATATCACAATATATTTTTTTTTGGGGTCTCTTTAATAATATGATACTGATTATTCAAGTGAAAAGTACAAGTTACTCTTAATATTAATCAAGTTTACTGCAACACCCACCATCTCTGTAACATCTCTTAATAGTAGGCTTATTATATGAATAAAATAAAGCCATTTATTGGTTTTAATCAAATTTATTGCAATATCCACCATCTCTGTAACATCTCTTAATAGTAGGGTTATTATATGAATAAAATAAAGCCAACTCTTGGTTTTAATCAAGTTTACTGTAACATCTACCATCTCTTGGCCAAACTGGGTGTAGGAGCTTCATATTAATTAAATTAATATCAAATTTATTCCAGAGTCTTGATTTAAAAATGAATTTTTAACTTCTAATCGACATCGAATAATAGACACAAACTGATTGGTAAATAAGCAGGTCCCCTGGTGGGTCAGCGGGGGAACCTGAGCCAATAGGGGGCCCAAAGGGCCTGACAAACAAAGAATTGCCGACAAGGGGAATAAATGTAGGGAGGGCCAATTACTTTTAATGCGCGGGGGTGGTCATCTTCTGTAGTTACACTGCCGCTTACTAACCAAGGGGTTTACTTAAACGTTTGTAATGTTTTCTGTATTATTGTAAATATAAACCTGTTGCTCAAATGTGTGCTGTGCTTATCGTCACTTGCCTATAATCTGCATACCAAGTGTTTATGATATTAGGCTTAGCTAGTTGAAGTCTCAAATAATATTCTATTATCAACAGTACAACCAAAGCTACTGTACAACCAAAGTTACTGTACATTCAAAGCTACAGTACAACTAAAGCTACAGTATAACCAAAGCTACCGTACAACTAAAGCTACAGTACAACTAAAGCTACAGCACAACCAAAGCTACAGTACAACCAAAGTTACTGTACAACCAAAGCTACAGTACAACCAAAGCTACAGTACATTCAAAGCTACAGTACAACTAAAGCTACAGTACAACCAAAGCTACAGTACAACTAAAGCTACAGTACAACCAAAGCTACAGTACATCCAAAGCTACAGTACAACCAAAGCTACAGCACAACTAAAGCTACAGTGCAACTAAAGCTACAGTACAACCAAAGCTACAGTACAACCAAAGCTACAGTACAACTAAAGCTACAGCACAACCAAAGCAACAGTACAACCAAAGCTAGTGATTTTCTTGAATCGTCCTCTAGTATTATTTGAGGTAAAATCTAATAAAGAAGAGAAAAACGACGTAGACACAGACTCGTTTGGTTTGATGACATTAGAAAATGGATTAGAGAGGGGAAGCTTGAATTACTTAAGCTGTTGTGAAATGCGAAGAGTGAAGATCAATGGAGAACCAAAATTCTTTGGGGGAGGGGCACCTTAATTTATTAGTATATGTCAGAGTTTCCCAAACTTTTTTGGCCATGGAACACTAGACACGTGAAATATCGGTGTAGAGGGGTATGTTGCTCGCGCAGCGCCCTCTAAACTTATATATATATATTTAATCAAATTACATATTAATGTATTTTTATGCTTATAATATATTTTAGGTACAAACCTCTCCACTAAGATATTATATAGAATAGATATGGCATCTTCTATAATTATTCTTCAACCTGACATCGATATTATCTAATCCTAATACATAGGAAAATATTTCATAATAAGTTACGGTCGTACAAAAAGTGTTAAATATTTTAGTAAAATCATGATTTTCTCACGGAGCTCCTATCAATCTCGGACGGAACACCAGTGTTGTATGTAATCGCTAAATGGCTACAAACAGGTTGACAAGTATTTAACGTCCGACCAAGGTGTGTTATCTTACGTACTAGACTGCAACTTTTACACGTATATGACGATAATATTTGTGATTTGCAACAATCACATTTGAACTTGTAATATACGTGTTGTATGGTTGCCCGAAAACTACCATCCGTCCACGTCCTCTGGAAGGTCAGCGGTAGGTTTATATCGAGACTTAGACTAAAATCTGTGTTAGATTCCTTGCAGATTGCGGACAACCCCATTATGTGGCTTTAACTTTTAAGTTGAAATAAACAAAGAAACAAACAGACATCGTTTGTCCATTTTTAAGTAATATTCCAGTTAGTATCACGTGCGTTTTCTGATTATATTATTCGTACACTTAGCAGACTTGAACAATAAAGTTCGAAACAACATAATAACATTCTCTGTGAAGTATACTCTTTTAATAAATAATATATATATATTATAATATACATAGAGAAAGAGAGAGGGAGCCCTAAGTATGAATATAATAGAACTTTATATTAGGCAGAATGTGAAGCAACTTAGTTCATTTTTTTTCATCCACGAGGCGCTGTGAAAGACAGCTTTGTCCCACGCACACCACTTTAAATGTATATCACTTCAGTGTGGTCGAGTACCCAGATCTAAAACAAGTCGGTTTTATAAAGTGACGCTAACTTCTGATTACAACAAAAGAACCTGTGTAGATTTTAGTACAAGTGAAAAGAGACGAGTGTATTAGATGTGTTGTATTCCGTACCCCCCCCCCCCCCCACCCCCCTCATACACACACACACACCGTCCACTTTACTTTAGGGAGTTCTTTGTACCTCGGAGGCACCTTCTTCGAGCGTGGGAGAAGTTTTCTGCGTTTTCCAACCTTATTCCCTTCTTTATATTCTAGGCTAACATCGTCCTGTCGCGTATCTCCACATACACACCTTTAACAAAGTGTTTTCTCACACACCTCGTTATTTTGCGTTGTGTTCTAATGACGAGAACGTTGCTGGGGTGAGACAGCTACAGAAAATGAGTTACAGAGATAAAGAAGATATTTATACCGACGAGAAGATTAAAGACGAGTACTGGCGACTACTTGAATCGGTCTTCTTCTCCTTCCCGAGAAGTGGGTGCGACATTTGTGGTACTTACACCACTTTTGGCTACGCCATTTCTCGATAATTAAAACGAACTATTGTTTATATAAACGAGTCAATCTGTCTGTCGTGACAGCGGACTTTCTCGCATGGCTACCTGAAACTTGTTCTGCTCTGCATAGACTAGTTGTCATAAAAGGAGGCATCGCAATGTAAATTGGCTGGACCTTGTTTTTTTGTTTTGTTTTTAAGCCTATTTAACCTTTCCTCTCGTGCTGAATAACGAACCACTGCTGGTCGGAAAACTCATTCAAATGAATTAACATGGGAAATAACATAAAAGCATGGTGAAGTTACAAAGGATTGATATAGTGGGCGACCTCTACTAGAAATATGAGAAGCGGTATTAGAACCACTTAGCATTGAAATATTAACATTCTTTTCATATACACTGGTATAATGAAACTTTATTAAACTATCTGTTTTGTGTATGAGATAGTAAATAATAAAAGCAAGAGCCATGACGATACAAGAATATAAAATATCAGAAACATTATATTACATAGTTTACATCGATTTATATGTAAATATTAAATTGGCCCAAAATTAAGTTACATTGTATTCACTTTTTTGGGTATTAAAAAAAATCACATTATGATTTGTAAGTTGATACAGTCTACTATTCAACTTTGATGTATTATATCACGTTATGATTTGTTGGCGGACACAGTAATTCAACTTTGATGTATTAAATCACGTTATGATTTGTTGCTGGATACAGTCTACTATTCAACTTTGATGTATTAAATCACGTTATGATTTGTTGATGGTCACATTCTACTATTAAACTTTGATGTATTAAATCACGTTATGATTTGTTGATGGTCACATTCTACTATTAAACTTTGATGTATTAAATCACGTTATGATTTGTTGATGGTCACATTCTACTATTAAACTTTGATGTATT